AAGCTGAATGGAGTAAGGAATAATACATGAGAAAACCTCTGAATCCCCATGGCTCATTGAAATCAGCTCTTGCTCCTTTGTGTGGAAGGAGAAAAGAGCTGAGGTGTCTCGCTCAGATCTGGGCTGGCTGAGACACTCACACCTGCCTAGAAATCGCATTGCCTGCTACCTCTTTGTGCTATCGCTAACAGCCCCAATTCTTCTTCGGATGAAAAAGTAGGTCACAGTCTTTCAGGATTTCAACCAAAGAGCGTCTCACAGAAAATTTCTGCGGGAGTCATCTTCCCTACCATCGGAGGGCTGGCAGCGCCCTGCAATATTTATGAAGTGTTATTACGTTATGGTCACTCCCATGCTGCCATACATCTGTCAATGTATGTGGAGCTACCGATCACTGAAATCCATCAAACGAGGACACAACCTCACGTCTTGAAGTCAAATCTCACAGAAGCAATACTCATGAATTCTCCTTATTAAGTTTCCGTCTTTGTATGTAAATGAAAGTATTAAAACAATGAGATACAGATCAAAGTCTTCATTTTGGTCTCTCGCCTCAGATTTAATTTAAAAGTCTTAAATTATGCAGCGAATTGCATCTCTTTATTCTTATGGCTGTTTAAAATGTATTTAATTATCTTCCCTAACATGCAGAGACTACTTCTGCCTAGCAGTCCTCTCAAACGAATGCATTCCAAATCGGTTTCGCTGAGTTCTTAAGAATAATTAGGCCCTTCACCATCCATCCTGTGCCTTCAGAGCCTTGCATTGGGTTTCTCTGGGAAGCCGAGTGATCGCCTTGAACGTCTATAGACTCATTAAGTGCTCATTAGTGGTCCAGAGGACATCCATCTTCAGCAAGTCTCCAGACAGAGTGATGCCACTCCTCACCGAATGTTTTGAGTCTCAGAAAACACTTTTGGTCAGCTTCCTGAAATTCAGGTATAATTGGAAAGCAGCTTCTTTGACAGAGTTTTATGGACTCCTCCTCTCCCCTCTAGGTTGGTCCCTTGATCAACTGTTCTTTTTCCTTAAAGAACCAATGATGCATGAATGCATTGGTGGTGGTGGTGGTGGTGGTGTGTGTATGTGTGTGCGTGCGTGTGTGTTTTCCTCTTGAGTCTCGAATGGAATCAAGGCTGGCTCCTTTACCCTATGACTTATAATGAAGGCTCTCTCAT